CTTGGCTGGCAGAGGAAAGCTCCTTCTGTTATATTTTAACAAAGGAAAGTACTCACAAGGCTGCTAAAAACTCTTCGACAGGCCACGACTGGTTTCGCCCTTCTTGGGGCCCATCAGGTAGGTGCAGTCCCCAAGCTTTCGTCAATCTTACGTTCTACTTGAACCCTTCCAGTTAATTTACGAATACTGAGCATCAAACTCCAAGGTATGCTACTGCGCTACTTATGTACAAAGGTTAGTTTCTTCATGAGCCCATCAAATTCGTGCTTATGCTGCATCTCATGTCAACTCAAAGATGTGAACAGGAACGGAAGTCGTGACTATAGATATGATGTGTTCTTGATAAGATGATCAGGCCAGGAATATTCATATCTCCAAATAGAAAGAACAACGAGGGCAACTTCTCTTCGAAGAAGCACCCGGTGACGCGTACAAATCTTCTGACTGCAGCCAGTAGGCTGTATGGTGGGTGTAACAGCCAGTCAGCTCAACAAGTGACTTGGCATGACAATTCTTCAAAGTTCTGACGGTGTTACCAATGCAGGCTGATTGACTATCATTTGTCCCATGTCTATGTGAAACCCATTGGTCGACATGCGACTTGAGTGGTAAATGTGGTCTAAAATGCAAAATTAACGGTCAAGAATTGTGGCGGATAAACAAGAGCCAACAGGTAGTACGGTTCGCCTTTCTTGATCATTAGAGAAGAAGGATCCATGTTTCGGACAGCTGAGCAGTTGAGACGCGAGACTATTGGCCGGTTGGTTCGTGATTCGAACCCAACCGTGGGTTTCAGCTACTTGTGTCTAGGTTTGAAAAGCCCAGTACCAACTCAGCCGTCATGTTTCCTCTGAACTAAATGAATACAGACCACCGAAGAGTGTTACAGAGGAACTATTATTGTGGCTACTTAAAATTTGTCGGCCAGTAGTATGGCTGCCTGTCAAAGTATTTCGGTCCTCGAAACGTGGGACTGATGATTCCCCTGAAGGAGAACATAATGCGACATAAAAAGTGGAAAAGTGCATTTTATCACTAATTGGTGACCCAACTGTTCGTTCAGTCGGCTTGAGGTCAGCTGAGGAGATGACTATAAGTGACTCAAAATCTCAGTTCATTCTGATTAAGGTGACCATTCTAAGGTTTTTGCACTAGTTGGCAAACGGAAAACAAACTGTCTCACCTTCACCAATTCACGTTCTTTCTGTGCAGAGCGGAACCGAACCTCCGTACGTGAAAGAAGCAATTCAAATTCCGACTTGACTTGGTCAAGCACACTGTCGTGGACATCCTCCTTATGTCCAGTCAGCTCACGATGAGTCGCGTTCACCTCCTTCAGTTTGGACTCTTTGTCTCGTAAGTTTTTCAGGAATTCCTAGGACGTAGTCGACGATATGAAACACGGGATTAAATTCAGAACGAATGTAATAGCGTTATGTCCTTGAATGCAAGAGGAATAACATGAAATAGTTGATATCATGGTTTTTTGCGTTTTTTTCTTAAGATACGTTACATGGATAGGCTGCATTAAGTTGTCAAACTGTCGAACCTATTCTAGCATTTAAGATTTAGGAAAAAGGGATCAGTGGAGGAATGTTCGTGTCATGTGAGTTGTATTGTTCAGCCGTAGCACCCCTTCGATGCCTAGCTGCCATGGCACCCGCAGGAAGGCACGGAACAAACTGTTTAGGTAGCACATCTATTCATGCAGCTCTGTTAACGGCGAAATCCCGTTTGAATGTTTTTTACTTTGTGAATACTGCTTGCTGTTTACTTGCTGTTACTTGCTGTTTGCAAGTAGCGAAACGTTAAAGTTCAACCTCACCCTAATAGAAGCTTGTGCAGAAAGGCCGATAAACGTTGTAGTCTTTTTATACATGATGTTCATCTCACATATCCCGAGTGGTATGAAATTCTGGCTGTGAAGAGATCGATAGCTATGTCACAGGATGACGTAGTAATTACTTTCGGTCTTTCTAAATTCTTTGTGATCCAATATAGCCCTGAGAGGACCCCTTTAACGTAACTACGTAGTGAAGCATGACACTGAAAAAAGTGTGCAATTCGCCCCGTTCTCTCTAAACCGGATTTTAGACAGTGGCTTCTTTCAGTCAAAAGCCCTGATACTTTCTGCTCGACCTCTGGACGAACAGAGGTGCTCCCGGAAACAACCGATGGTCGTTGAACTATGTTTCTCTGCTAATGACTTGACCGAGCATCACAACAGCCTGAAGGGATCATACAGTAATCCGGTTGTGATCATTCCATCCTGTGCAGTGGTTTGCAGATAGCTTGGACTGGGTATATAGCTGAGAGTGTGGTAACTCATAAGGCCGTCTCCAAAACACGTTTGTTGTAAATCGAATGTTGAGGGCAGGTACGTTAAAATGAACCAAAAGGAGCCTGTTTCCGAGAGAACATTCGAACCACACTCGAGCAAGAATGGACCTACTGATGAGTGCTTAGGAAACGTTTGTTTGTAAATGATTCACATGTCTGCTGTGTGAGTACAGTCTTGGCGCATTTTGCACTCTGTGATCAACATGCGGAACTGCCTTGCATTCAAGGATAAACGACACTGCTATCACGTTTTACTGATTTTGTGTAGGCGGTCAAAGACTTGGCTGTGCTAAAAGAAACTATTACATCACCAAAGTAGAGTGCGATTCTGGACGAAGAAAGTTGTGCGGAGTTCCTGTAAAATGTGAGGGTAAATGACATCACAGAAGAATTCCGTGAGGTGATCGGCGTGCGCTTACAATGTGAATGATCCTTCATCATCAACTTGTACACACTGGTACATGTGGTCTTGTATAACTGACAGGTTAGGTCTACATTTGTTGGTCGAAAAAGATTCTAGAGCGGAATTATTGTCGAACTGACACAAAGTGCCACTTCCTCGGATACGTTGTTACCTGTCGCTTGGTATTCCCAACATCTTTGTGCATTTGACAGGCATTCACCTAAGTGGAAGAGCTAGGAACCAGACGAGAAACCAAGCTCAAAGTATGATTAGTATTCGATCGATATGTTGCCATGTTCGGGGGCCTTTGGATGGGCAATCCACAATCAGTAGCTGTGTTGTTGCTGCCATTGTCTTGCTTTCGGCTGCGTCCCTTGCAATGACGGAATTTCCTATAAATACCAAACGGCCGGTTCAGTTAACGTTTGTGGGGAGAAGTCATATTATGAAAACCTAGGAATCACTGAGAATGTCTTTATTTTTTTGTGTCAAGGTTTCGTTTGGGGATGCGTAATGTATTTGGGGCTTAAGAACTCTCTGAAGCCCAAAATCACGGTTGCGCCGAACGGGATCATCAGAACTGGCAGTGCCTAAATGGTTCATCGATCAAACGTAAATTAACTCGTGCAAGTCCCAGTGGTGATATCAGCCTAACCAGCCCATGTGATCAAGAAATCATTGGAAATTGAACCCTGAAATGATGCGTACGGAAGATTTAAACGACTATCAGCTCAGCCGACTGTCATTTGTACGTTCTGTCTTTCCAAATACAGTTGCTATACATGAATTGGTCACACAAACTGCCGGCTGTTTTATGGCGAGTTTACAAAAACCTGTAGGTGCTGCATGCGTCCAATGAACAGTCCGGCAAATAATGAAAAACGGCTCTTGATTTGGAGTAAAAGTACGCTAGAACCACACTAACCTATGAAATGCGGTGCGTCCCAGAGAGGTACAGGAACCGAGGCCGTGGAAGCGAAATGTGCAGCGACAAGATTGCGCATACATTGAAGCGATTGACACGATAGGGAAAAAACAGTCCGACAATGTGCCCCATTATACACCAGTAAGATTGGAAAATGTGAACCTGAGTGCACAGCAAATATGGACTTACAAGATAAATCGTTGGGAACCTAACGACGAACTAGGGAAGAGATGACAAGGAAAGTTGGGTTTTTTCCCCAGTTAACGTGAAAACAGGCTTGAAACGCAACATGGAGTGTTCTTCAACGACATGTTTGGCGGTTTTTTTAACATAACAGGTGAGCGCAAGCATTTCGTAATGGCTGCCCGGTACCAAATTAACCAATGTTGTGTGGGATGGTTCAATAGGACAGCTTAGAAGGCAACATGGTGAGATTTCGCTCACCAAGCCTGTGATAGTCTAACGGCCACAAACAGCTGCTTCTGGATTACCGTATAACATCGCTGGACGTGTCACTTATACACAAACCCAAAGTCCATATAAAACCCACCCGGTATGGATGACTTATGCACTATTCCTGACGCCGTGTGGAATTCACACGCTAGACTGCATTGAGCCATAAGCCAGAATCTTTAGCCAGGATTGTAGAAGAGAATGGCTGCTCAGTGCGTTTGCTTGCAATCGGTAGATTTATTGCTGGGCAACGTTGCGCTTCTCGGTTTACGTGACGATCCCTCTAGAACGTCGTTTTCACTTTTTGTCCATGTCGATGAGCTAGTGCTGCAATAGTTGTGTAAGGGGGAGGGATTCTGTGAACCTCGGTCGGGTTGGGATTTCTACTCCCTCCCCGCATTTTTGCATTGACAACTACACACAGTTACGTACCAACCCGGCTTATCGAAGACCGCTTTCCGTACATCTTCCAGTTCCACACCCTCGATTCTATTCACATACTGACGCTTGGTAAGTTCCACCCCATCGGCTATCAGCCACTGTGGTGTGAATCGCAGTCCCCGTCTTAAAGCTTCCACATTCCTATATCTAACGCATGCACTGCCACCGCTGAGTCTTTGAACAGCGTTTGGTATTCTTCCGCATTCCTTGGTGGTTTGTTTATCCCCATTTTATGCTCACCAATTCTGGCGTGCAATTCTCTAGCTGTTTGTCGTATATAAGCCTTAGTACATTCGTTGCAGAGAGGCTTGTTCACACAGTCCTTGCCCTTTCAACTGGGAGGGGATCTTTCAGATTTCCTCAGGCTTCGATATCTAGAGAGGAAAGGTGGAAATCGTAGAGCTTGAGGAAGGCTAGTAGGGGCACAACTGGACAAAGCAGACGTGAGTCAGTGGCTGAAGAGATCGTTTGTCTTGCTTTCCTTGAGTACCAGTCTACTAACAAGCCAACTTTCACATTAAAGTATCAACGATTGGCTGGGATCCGCAACAAAGATCAATACAAGTAACCAGTCTATTTGATGATGTCAGCTAACGGGCGGAACAATAAACGTGAAGCATCGGATTCATCTGCTGTGAAAGACTGGTCAGTTAACAAGTGACCTACAGCCGAGACGTCACGTGCTCTACTGCCTAATGTTGACCTGAATAAGCCTATTAAATATTTTTACCTGCTGTGTAATTAAACCCCAAGAAAAGTCAAAGTTTTGAACTTGCTGCTCATAAGGTCATCTGTGGGTACGTGTCCCAAGCTGGCTGAGTATTGTGAAATCACCTGACCAACTGAACAGCTGGTTGGAACAAAAGGGATACCTTAGTGAACGTGGCATTGCCTGAGAAAAGAACTAAACTACGGTGAAACATGACTGGATAACTAGCTTTCGGCATTCTTATTTATGAGTCGATATTTTTGGTTCCTCAGAATAAGAACCGAAAATGTAAGTATTGTAACTGCCCAAATCTGGGCGATTCAGAGAAAACTTTGCTGGAGCCCCGAGACATGAACTCACCTCAATGGCTTGGATATCCTCGTCATTGATTTCTGATTCTTGAGAGGGTACCTTCAGCAGATGTTGGGCGGCTTTTTGTTGGTCCGTCAACCAGCGCCGAAAAGTGTCGCGAGCTCGTGTATAACGAGTCCAGCGGGTGTGTAATTCAAGCAGTTGATCAGCCCTGATTTCTAACTGGAAAGAGATTGAAGAGACGTGACGTTAGGTAAACCATACCAACAGACAGCGAAAAAACACCGCATGTCCAGCTTGTACAATGGCTTATTCTGTGGTTCCATGGATCATCAACCTCCCTTCCCAGGTGTATGAAGCTAAGGTAAGGTAGTTCCAAAAACGTGCTCATAATTGGAGCTGATGTGGAGGAATTGTCATCAACCAAAGTTCGAATCCCTGAGCGAATACCTTCAAATTGGCTGCAGATCTCGCAGTTAAATTGTCCATATTAGTTCATCAATGGAGACGTAAAAGATATTGGTTCCTCCTACACCTCCTGATGAAAAACACAAAAGGATTCTGGCATAATTGATTAGCAGCAAACATCAAATGCACAACGCCCAATATCTAGGTTAATATCGCTGCACACGTGAACTGTCATATTCATGAATATGGTTGGATATATTTTTTACTGATAGGGTAAACCAGAATTTTTCGACCATTCTCCCCCAGTTTTGCCCTTTACAGACCTATTAGGTGGTTTTGGGCTCCGAAATTTCATGAAAACATATTTTATCTGTCACATGATCGAACGGATAGTTTTGGACGTTTTTTGGTGGCAAATTAGTTCATGTTGACGTACAGCTGACACCCGAATGATTCGTTCTTTTATGATAACATACCTTCGCAGATTCCCGATCAACTGTGACAAGCACGTTCTTCGCAAGCTGTTCCACGGAAGACGAGTTCCCAGCTCCAGTGTTTGAAGTGGTGTCGAACGCCGTTAACCCAATGCTGTCGTGAGGAAAGGGGATGTATGCGAGAGGGGGATAAAAGTCACTTATTGAATTGTACCGTACAAAAAATTGCTCGCAAACTGAAAAAAATCGTTCAGCTGTAGCACCCTTCCGGCGCCTAACTGCCAGGCCACCCGAAGGTTGCACGAGGGCTGGGATACGGCCAGGTTACCCAAACATAGACAGGGTAAGTCGAGAGGCAGAGGTCGAGTTCGAACCACGGACCTTCCGGTCAGTAAATTCGCGCTCTAACCAGTTGGACCATCTCTCAAACAGATTATACGTGAAGTGCCAAAAGTATGATTTCGGTAGTTTCTCACCAAGTCATACTTCCGTCTGAAGTCTTCAAGAAAAACCTTTAGCAGGACCACCCCTGAATTGCCCGTAAACTGAACGTATTACTACGACTGTTAAGATGATAGAGTTTATCCCGCTTACGGCCAAAACCACGACATTTCATTCTTAAACTTTCTGAGTCCGTACCATTCACTTTTCAAGCTAAATGTGAGGCAAGGAACTAAGTTGTGCCTCTCACCCTCGGTCGTCCAAATCTATCATACATGAATTTGGTTCTCTAGAGTGCCATATTTACTGAGAGCAGTTTTTCCGCCTCGGATCCCCCTAAAACCGGACCACTACTTATGTAGCAGGGCAGCCGAAATTTGACCTGCGGAAGCCATGCAAAGGTGGTAAGACAGGCAACACGATCGGCCGTACATTTTCAATATGCAATCTTCCCATCTTCATGCGGTAAGGCGTTCCCGGTTAGCCAAAGGCCCTGTGGCCGAATCAGCTGTTCTAATGATGCACAGGTCTAACGGTTGCCATCAGAAACATTTTGTCTGTCGGCTTGAACCCATCTGATCAAATTGGTGAGTAAAATCCCTTTTTCACGGTTCTGTTTGTAAACAGGGGATATTCTTCGGCCAACAGCAGCGAAGCATTTTATTGAGGTGTTGACTAATATCATACGTCGACGGTGTTTTAGCTGCATTTTCCCAGGTCTAACTGTCTTAATCTCTACAATTGTAAGCCGTGATGAAAAATCATTGAAACCATGCGTCTGGTCAATTGAACACCCTTAAAACCCACATAGAAATCGATGTGAAACAAAACGTGACACTTTTCCTGATTGGTTCATCTCTCCAATCTGATATCCAACTTGCGTGGAACTTCCACTCCGTTGTGCCAAACCAGTCGACCACAGGAAGGCAACATCATCCTCACTGTCAACGTCAACGTCATTATCCTGAACATCATGAGCAGCAACTTGAAACCACCCACGGGTCACGATTCACCACCTGGCATCTTCAGATTGTAAACCGGATGGCAGTGACTGTCGCGGAAATTGAGTGGGCATGAAAATCGAGGGTGAAACTACGCACTGAAGGCATCAACTCTGTCGCATAGCTGGCTTCATAGACCTGACTGTCAACGTCGTTAACCGCATGGTACTCCCCTCCGGATAGACGGCAGCAGTCAGCGTCACGGGGATTCATTGTTCTGTATCATCGCGACTCTTTGTCAGGTCATTACCGGGCCCCCTACAACACAGCCTGCACACAGTTGCACGAATAGGGTCATCTGAAGATTTGTGGCATACGACCAATAGGGCGCATTTCGCTACCTATAATCAGCTTGTCTATATGACAATTTACCAAAAGATACCCTCAAAAGATTCATGCAATGGCTCTGTAACATTGGTAAGCGAATAGTGAAAGTCTCTTCAGTGTCTTATTCATATAGTGGCTAGTTACTTGATGCACATCTTCACATTTAGCTCTACAATTACAATTGGTAGACGAGTTGACGATTTCCAAAGTAAAGAATCCCCTACTTTGAAAAAATCTACCCTGGTTTTCGTAGTGCACTACCCGTAAGGTTGCTGAAAATTCGCCGACAGCCAACGACCGTTTCGCACTTCTTGGGGCTAATCAGGTAGGCGCAGTCCCCTAGTTTCCGTCAACTTTGTGTTCTACTTGAAACCAAGAAGGGCGAAATCGGTAGTGGGCTGTCGACGAATTTTCAGCAACCTCATGAGTAGTGCATTACAAATATATACATGTATCGTGATATCACGAACATCGTAGCGACTGAAACATGAGGCGGCCTGATGCAGCACATTCAGTTGTCTGGACACATCACAAACGGGGAATTCAGCTGAGTTCCAAGCGAGTCTCTCGAAAAACCAAATTAGTTTGCAAATAAGTGTATTTCGCTACCCTGATTTTCCCTAATTTAATAGCTAACTTCGTCCCCAGACATGCTCTGAGCATCTCTAATCATTCTCAGTTTGAAATGACTCAGTGGTTAAGGCCCAAACCTACCGATCAGGGGGTCCATGGTTCGAACCCAATCCAGGCATCTTGACTGCTTCTATCTAGGCTTTGGTGACCGACCAGTGTAATGGTGATACTACTGATTGGGAGGCACGCGAGTAGTATGTGTTGTTCGTGGAGTTTCGCCTTGCGTCTTTTGAACAGGGGAGATTTGGAGTTTCGCCTTGCGTCTTTTGAAAAGGGGAGATTTGTTGCAGAATTCGTAGAGTCACTTTGTAACAAGCTTGGATTTGAGTGAGTAATGATTGGAGTCAATGAATCTCCAGGAAAGTTCAGGAAGACGCGTTCAGGAGAAGATAGATGTCCAGTTTTTGTAAATAAGATGCAAATTAGAGTTTTGCTTCCCTGTCCAATGGTCTGTAACCGGTCAGTTGGCATTTCTTAATAAGTAACTCCGCAGCGAAGGCCTTCTTCCTTCCACCAGCATCTCAAACCTTGTGCTTCCCTTGGCTGCCATGACAGCTATGCATATGAACGCTTATTATTATTGTTTAGTCATATATACCCTGAGGACTGACGTCGTCAACTACAATAACTGACTCATCCACAAGAATCAAGTTCGCGTTTTTGACCCCACATAGTATTTTTAAAGTAACCTGAGATTTATGAGGGTAAAGCGCATGGTGCTCTGTGCAGGTGGTTCATTGATTTGTTCGGATATTGCTTTCACCAATGTAGGCACTAACTCTATCGTCAGTGCACCGTATCCTCAAATAAACATTTCAGTAGCTTTCTAATCTCATGGATACCGTGAGGTATGGTTCAGCGGTATATAGATGCCCAGGGCCCAGATGAAAACTCTTTATAGACCTTGAGCAACCCATGGGTGGTGGGAGACAAGCTAACAAATTGGCGTGAAGCACCTGAGCTCAAGAGATATTGTGGTAAGACCTGACAAGCAATACATACAAAGTTAACGTCCGAGGCAAGGAAGGCGAACGCTGTTTTGGCCCCTGAAAGCAGCAACGCTGTCATCACACTCGTCTGAGGGTAAAAATGTGATAGATGTGATCAGCCAGCTCCACCTATTACTGAACTGCGGCCAGCTGAGTTTACAGTAGTTTTGTCGCAAAGCGTTGTGTTTTACCCATTGATTCGTTTAGGATAAGATACTTTAGATGGCTTTTTCAATGAGCTTAGACAGTCCACAATCTATCCTGGGCACTATTTGTGTCATTATCGTAGAGATGGGACAGATGGGTCAAATCACCCAAGAGAGAACACTGGTTCATGTTTAGGAATTTGCAAAAAGCATTGCACTGTTCCGACCGCAGACTACTTTCTGAGGCATATCTTCCTGAGACTTCCTTTGGGGAGCTGTCATCTGTTCGTTTGATTCTTCTCCCCACAACTAGCCATTTGTTAGTGAGCCGCACGCTCATTGATTCCAAGTTAAGAACATTTGAACATGAGATCCATAAAAAAAATCGTTCAGTTGCAGCACCTTCTCGGTGCCTAACTGCCAGGCCACCCGGAGGTTGCACGAGGGATGGGATACTGCCAGGTTGCCCAAACCTAGACAGGGTAAGTCGAGAGGCAGAGGTCGAGTTCGAACCACCGACCTTCCAGTCAGTAAATTCGCGCTCTAACAACTTCTGCCTTCTCGCCCCCACTTTAGGGCTTTAAGTATACGTGAATAAGCAGTGAAGCATCACCGTCAGTGTCAACACTGACGATGGTATCTTTGACGATGATGTAGTATTTTTTAAGTTGACGGAATCATTCCCAGACCAAAAAGATCCACAAAAGTATTTGCTAAACCCTTAGAAGTTGGCTCATGTTAACCCAGATGCTCTGTGGTCTCTCGTAGACGATCTAATTGACACTTCATTCACTTTAATCCAGTGGTCTGTCGATGTTGGATCTGATGAGACCGTTCTCAACAGAACAATGACTTGCAAATTTTACAAAATTTCTACACTATAGTACAAAAGATGGCAATGGTCACATGAAAAAGCATCCAATTTCTATCTCACAAATTTTTTCGCAGCCCCATATGATCCGATTTTGCATTGGTTGTCTTCCACCCACATGACAGACTAATTCAACGGGAACTTACTCATGAGCTGCATTCACGATGTCGCGTTTAAATGTGACCAGATGACTGAGTAGTGCGACTGTTTGGCTCTGCTGGGCTTCACAATCTCTGAGGTTCTCGATCATGGGTGCGGGGGGCTTGTCAGCTGTGTTCAGTGCCAGAGATTGTAACTTTTCGTTTAAGTAGGCGACTGACTGAAACTGCCTTGTGGGTGAGAGGGAAGTTGTAGGTGAAGTCCTGGAAGTAGGCAATGGGTCCCCTGAAATTTCTAACCATCTTTTGGGTAGCTCTCCAGTGAGGAATGCTGTTGCGTTCTGGAGCAAGTCCATGAGCGTCTTCCACTTGTCCATCTGTCTCATCAGACGATTCTGAATAATGCAAATGTAAGAAGGCTTGTGTTTATTCGACAGAGTTTTTGTGACAAACAGCTGTCGTAACCAGGATAGAAACTCGAACCGATCTCAAAATTGTTACCTATGGGATTTGTCACACCACATACTTGGTGAAGGAAGCCATATGAGCGTAAAGTGCAACGCAGAAACCTTTTGTGTTGTGGAGTCATTAGGTGGCGTCACTAAATTTCTAGTGCCCCTTCCAAATATCTGCAGACTTAAACCATACATGCCTTCTATTCATATGCACAACTGGTCATCGGGTTGTTTCATGCATCCAGTGTGTCCTCAAGATCGGATTTTTTTCAACAAAGAAGTAAGTTCCCAAAAAGCCCAGTCGTAAAAGGCCATTCATACCTATGGGAAGTCAACGTCATTTGAATCAATCACCTGACCGTTCAGGTGGCTGAATGATATACAGCTACGTTCTCTAGCCTCATTTTTTGTTCACCACTATGTTTGTGCTTTTGAGAGGTTCAACCGGAAGATTCTACGTAGTCTTAATATATCTGTATAATTCGTTAAAGTCACGGTTCACACAGGACACCTCATCCTATCAAGTGAGTGCAACATTCGTGTCAGATGAACCTAACCGAACTCTTGTTGAGGAGAGACCCAACCGAATTCGGTCGAGTCTTTTCTCGAAACCACATTCGTCCGCAAAAGAATGTATCTGTTGATCAGCAAACCTGTATTCTGATCTGTCCATACTATTCAAAGTGAATCGACCTTGAATCTAGCTTTAAAGGCGTGTATTTATTTGTTAAATGAGGAGTTGAGGGGAATCAAACTGTTCATTTATGACCTTGCCAGTTCCTTCATAAAAACTCCTATCGCTGACAACTCGGATATCATGTTCACTTCACGTACTGCGTTGAATCGAACTTGACTTTATGATGATTCCCCATTCGTTTGCTTACTCCGCTTATGTGCTTTTGATCTCCAGGTGTTTTGCTTATTCGTACCCGCCACTCACCTTGCCGCAGAGGCCGTCCTTTCCGACACTTGTGTATTGACATGTGTCTGTGTGTGAATGTGAGCTGCTGACCTACTCGCCCATGTGCGTTCATGTCCCGTTTGCTGAGCCTGCCTTGACTTGTTTTCTCATGAGTTCCGCGTGACCGCACTTCCAATGAGAATCACGAGACCGCCGTCGGAAGGAACGACTGCAGCCCACGATACTGAGCCATCATTCCGCTCGACGTTGTCTGGCTTGCGGACGTGGACACTGCACTGTAGCGGTCACTGACAGAACTGTGAACCTGTTGACGCTACGAGCGTGAACAATTGCTTACCCTTGTGTACCGTAGAATTACGAATCCAATTCTTCCTTTTGATATTCGGGATTGTCGAACCTACGTGTCACTCAAAGTCCTGTATTGGGAACCGCAACATGTCCTCAAGGAATACAATGCGCACTTTTGATTGCGGGGGCAAAGTAGTCTTTTTTTATGGGTGCGCACACATGCAGTTATGTTGAGGCGGAAGCAGTGGATTCCCAGGTGAAATAAAATGTTCTTTCATTCAATACGGGCCAAGTCAGACCAGAATAGAGTTAGTACAGAGAAAATGCTGCCAGTTGATTCGGGTGGGGTCACTTACTTTCAATGCTTTTGCGTTAGCATGTACAGTCGCATGGTTTTGTTCCAACTCGTCAGTTCTTCGTATGGCTTCACTGGCCACAGTACCCAACGGTCCAGACCCCATTGATAACACATATTTTAGCGTGCTAATTGTGGCGTGACTAAAGGGTGTCTCAGTCAACTCACAGTCGGTCATTTCACAGTCCCTGTGCTTGAACATATTCAGGGCGCAATGCACAAGGAAATGCGCCATCTGGTGGACAGGTTGTATCAACTGATTCCCGTTCACCTCAATATCGTGTAGCAGTTGATCGACACTCTCGATCGATTTCGGTATCCAGAATGGAGAATTCTCAGCCTTCTCCCATGAGTTAATATCATCAGGACTGCCGAACGACTGTGTACATGAAGTCAGTTTCAGATTACTATTCGTCAACCATCGTTCAGCCTCCTGCACAGCTTGACGGAACCGTTGTGTTTTTTGGCGAACATGTAGAAGCCAGTCGATACGTTGCTAGAGGAAAAATGATACAAAAAGCATAATTAGTCGAGTCGATAAATCTAGGCGATGTTGGAATGCTGTGGACGTCCGGCGTGGAAGTAAACGTAGGAACGACAGCAAGTCATCAGCCCTACGTAATTTTCAAAACGTAAGCCAAATTTAGCAACTCGGGCAACTTCAACCTGATTTACCGATTGCTTTCATCGACGATGCCCGTTTGAAGCACGTCTCGGCCAGTCCAAGACTTAGATTCTTGGAGCATTCGGAACACTTCAGACAAACCAGGTCACCTGGTGAAGGGCACCAGGAAATTCGATGCTCTATCTAAAACGGTCATTTCTGTAAACCACCTTGTGATCTAACATTTTACACACCCTGAACTTGAATCTAACAGAACAATGATGTTTTATCACCAAAACAAGGATAGTCTTTGTGTAATGCACTACTCATAAGGTTGCTGAAGATTCGCGAACGACCCCGACCGGTTTCACCCTTCTTGGGGCTCATCAGGTAGGCGCATTCCCCGAGATTCCGTCAACCTCATGTTTTAATTGAAACCAAATGGCACGAAATTAGCGAAATACACTCATCTGCAAACTAATTTGGTTTTTTGCGAAACTCACCTGGAACTCAGCTGAATTTGCCGTTTCAGTCGACGAATTTTAAGCAACCTTATGAGTAGTGCATTACAAATCTACATGTACCGCTATATCTCGAATATCGTACCAACTGAAAAATGAGGCGGCCTGCTGCAACACATTCAGTCGCCTGGAAACATCAAAAATGGGCTCCAGGTGAGCCTCCCGAAAAACCAAATTAGTTTACAAATGAGATTATTTCACTATGAACAGTCTTTATGTAACCCATTCGAAAAATTTCAAACTTTTTGAGCAAACGTAGCTTGTTTTTCCACCTCTGGAGTATCAAATGTCGCAATTAAAAGATGCAGTGAATTTTTGTAAAATTAATTTCAGACCAGTTTTTTAGACCCGATTTGTGATGGCTGAACTACAATTGAAAGCTTAATATGTGTGGAATAGCATTAAATTCGTCCACTTTCTTTTTATTTCCCCGGCCATCGTTCTTTCGAAAAGTTCCAAATTTTAAACAAACCTCACTCAACTATCGTGCTACGTCTTGTCACATGCTCAGAGAGTGCGAAATGCTCGTGGGGCTGCTGATAACTGACCCTGAATCATCCTTGATAGGTTTGTCGATCAACGAATGAACGGTCACCATTGGAGTGTTTTCGCTCATACTTGCAAGTCACTGGAGCATTCTGTTCATTTAGACCATTTAAATTTGACAACGGGTAAGCCCATCCTTATTGGCGTTCCCCGATAAAAGTGTATGTTCACAAGGGGACCCCAAGGCATAGAATGCAAACATTTTCACCCCCTTGGGTGAGGTAGCCAAAACAAAAACTATATCGTGACACTAAGCTGCACTCGCAGAGAAACACAAAATCCAGACTAAAAGAAACATGAGTATAAAATCAGTCCTCTATTCCAGGACCTGTGTGTGTGTGTGTGTTGGGGGCAGGTGGGTCCGGCAAGTGCTCAGAATGCGTCCGTGTTTAAAGCACACAAACATGAGAAGAGCTCTTGGGCGGAAATGGATGTACATGAAATACAGCGTCAAGTTGGCAGAATATCACATCTTACGGAGTCGAGAAGAACAAGCGAAAAAGTGATAATTTAACATGACTGCCTCAACTTATACTGTCTAATCAAAGGGTTATCTTTGCTCTTCCGGTTGTTCTGATGTTCCGGATGCGGGATATTCGATTATAAACCGGTTCAAAAGTATATCAGCCTAATAAACGACCGCGCACATAGCTGAAAACGACCTTGAGATACCAGGAACGAACCGAATAAAATCAGATGACAGATCTTCCGTTTAATTCGGTGGGAATTGTCAAAGTTCTGCCAGTCGTGCTAGCGTTTCGAATCCTTCCATCACGCAACAGGAGTTTTGTGGATAATAAATCAAAGCCGACCAAAAATTTAGTAAGAAATTGTTTGCGGTGTTATGTATTTTGAAAAACCGTAGCTCTGGTTCGAAGGTCAGCGCAGAAAACAAGAAAAGACGGTTGACCTCAATGGCAGTTCGCATGCAATACGATTAAACCAAATGAAGGACTTCTTGGTGCCTTACTTATCTCGCGAAAGAACTCCTAAGCTGTTTCGGGCATAAACAATTATTCGCTAGTTAACACATTCACCTGAACGATTTTGCGGAAATTTTCAAACCTTTCTTGCAGTTCCACAAATGGTTTCTGTTCCGCCGCAGATAGTTCCACAATGGAGCCAGAAAATGATGTAAACTCTGAAGACTTCTCTTGCAGCTTCCCGAGAATTTCCTGTGAAGAAAAGAATGAGTCCGGCCACAAATTAGCAAAGACGTGCAAACTTCTGCCAACCAAATGGTCGACAAAAGACAGATTATTATTAGGTGCCTAATTCTGCAACGAAATATCTGAAGAGAAGAAAAGAATGAGTCCGGCCACAAATTAGCAAAGATTTGCAAACTTCTGCCAACCAAATGGTTGACAAAAGACAGATTATTGTTAGGTGCCTAACTCTACAACGAAATATTCTACTGCCTTCAATCTATTGTTTTTGTGTGTGTGTGTGTGCTTAATTTTTTGAGGTGCTCTGCTGCCTTAAGGCGGGATAAAGGCGGGAAAGTTGTGCGCTGTAAAGCTGACACAGCTAACCAACCAATCGTGTGAAGGCAACGTAGTCATCGCTGACGCGAGCCTGTTCATGCAGGAACCAATAGCACACATACATTGATTTACTGACTGATCGATCGATCGGTAAACTAAATCAACGATGTGTTTAGGCTAAAGCTATGGAAATGATGGAGATGATGTGAACTGTGAACCCTTCATACATTTATAGGGTGTCGTGCCTCTAAAGCGTGATCCGTCTCAGTAACGATCTACACTGATCACCTGTGATCCTTCTCTGTTGAGTTCACTGTGGCTTTGAGTTAAAACAAGAGTGTGGGCACAAACAGAGAGTGTGATCTTTGGTGTGCACTCATCATCCTAAATTAAGAAGGGTAGTCATTTTTGCATCGCACTAGTTTGCTCCGATATCTATGCTAATCAGGAGCTCTAAGTTGGTTTCAGATCAAAGAGTAGGATGCAGGGAAAGGCGATGTTGTGCTCCATTGATGCTTATGTGTCTTTATGAGGTGACAAGAATAAACGCTTTCATTTGGCTTCAGATAGTTGATACTTGTTTTGAAATAAGCAAAATTTATTCCATCCTGTTAGGGTATCCCCAAAGAAGCAAATCAAATCTTTTATCCCTGCCCCCTATGGCCCGTTATCCTGTTAGACGGGCTGTTTTGTTCGGATTAATGACCATCCTCACTCGAAACGAGACAGGTTGGGCTTCATCATGTATACTGGGCTTTACTATATCATGCTTTGTTCTGCTGCACTATTCCATGCTGTCCTATCCTATCCTATACTACCTTATACCATACTATGCTCTACAATGCTGTACGGTTGTGTACCACAAAACTGCCATTGTACCCACTGCTATAAGCCCCTAACACAAGCCGGGTGATCTCTCACCAATATCGTTCGCTACCGGCCAAATATTGCCAGTTCTTTAGGTAGAACGCCCAACCAACTGAGGAGGGGTTTTAAAAAACATGCGCACTCTTAGAGAAGACGGTTTTGCGTGCATGCCATTCTTATCCGAATGGGCGAGTTTGATTTCACAGGATGCTGTCAATCACCATACTAAGGAAATGTGGAAAAGAACCCGCAGCACTGTCATGTTCCTTCAAGATCTACTGCTAATAGCGACCTCCGCTTACGTAGACTAACAATCATGCACAAACTCACTGTGTACTGGTCCACGTAGGCGTTCCATTCAATGTCTGGCATTTGGGATCCGCCCGGTGTTTGCAGTTTGGATTCGACAGACAAACGCTCCAACAGTTCCAATTTACGTTCGAATTCGTTTAACCACGTCTGGTTTCGGGCCAGCCACTCCTTATTCAGTTCTCGCTGGACCATTGTCCGATTCGATTGATCAATAAGCTAATGGAGAAAAGCATTTTAAAAAACGCTTAAAGATCATTATTCTGAAGACTGAATGGGATGCCAATCAATGTTGACAGAACAAGCTGACGCGTTTCTAGAAGATTTTGAAGGTTCACTTGGGTCCAGTTTTCCCAAGTGAAGCAAGTCTACGCTGACAAACCCAGAAGCGCCAAATAACTATTTCATCCTTGTTGAATATAATTAGTAACTACTCACAAAGTTGCTGAGTAGTTTCTCTTAAAAAATTGTACTGCGTTATCTCTAATAACGTACGAACTTAAACATGAGACGGCGTTTGTGCAGTACAGTCAGTTGAAGAATAGCATAAACGAGGGCTTCAGATGAGTCTTCCGTGAAAACCAAACTTATTTGCAAATGAGTGTATTTGTCGAGACAGTAGATCACATCTGATGTTCAAGCGCGCGCTGCAGAATCCTTGGAGAGAAGTCTAATGATATTTTGCACCTAACTCGACGGCGTGCCGAATCAGTGCCAACTGGCGGACGCCTTTGTTGTTTATGGGATGAGACGTGTGGAGCCATACTCTCTACTTCATCCAAAGGAAAACACAACAAAAGAATGGAGTTTCAGTTCAACCGACATCTTAGAGCAATGACATGGGAATTTCGTCCCGACTCACTGGTAAACACACTAATCTCCCATGGATCGCAGATGTTCTAACCCTTTGCCGCAGATCATCCGCGGGTGAGAGAAGGGGATCTACTTCTCCACTTGAAGTCCAAGGGAACCCGACAAAAAGCAGAAAGATAGCGTGGTTTGTAAGGTCAGACATTCAAGACGGGTCCGGACCCAGCACCGAGAAATCTCATTATTATTAATTATGTTTCTCTAGGGGAAGATGAGAAGATAAGTCACGTGCTGTCTTGTGGGCCGTTTCTGTGTACTTGTCTCTGTGTGAGACAGATCTAGCGTCTTGCCCGCGACAATCCCGTTTGAACCCGACCTTACCCTCTGCGTACTACTGTCACATTGCGAGGTGCTTGAGCCATAATTTATCAACCTTGTGGAAGCTGTATACACCAGTTTTCCAGTCAGGTAAGTTGTCCGAACCAGTCAAACAGCTCAACAGCTGTGGCGTAAACAGGTTCTTGCACTCGAAGTTCCCGTTAGCAATTGAAGAGTATACAATTTGTCCATGATCAGCAATGTGATAGCCCCATTCGTCCTTGAGGTAATTTACCTACGCTTCTACTGATTGGCTGTGCACTGCAGAAGATTCACGTGACTAGTGAGGTTTTCAGTTTCTGAGCCAACTGTACTCGTACCGCAAGGAGGAGGGAGTACCTGCCAAAAATCTCCCTTCTGTTCACCAGTTGCACTCTGTTAACCTCCCGTAAATTAACCTATTTACTGTGAACATATTTATTGTCGACACTTGTTATCGTTGTCTTCTCATAATGGATACTTTCAGAAAAATGACAGAAAGACCGAGATTTTTTGTGTACTAGCAAGTTCACGATCCAGACAAGGAATGTGACCTCCAAATGCATCCTAAATATTCATTCTTAGGAGCAACGCTCGTGAATCGGGCTCGCTCACTTTGTGGTCAATAAACTAGACGCTCTTGTGGACAGTTTTTGGGCACACGAGCAGATCAATAAGTTGGGCTAAACTTAGAAGCGAAAGTTGTGAACTTTCCTAATTCCGCACAACTTCGTTTGGCCTGCCGCTAGAGCTTTCAGTATGTTCTGTGTACGTTGAAAGTTATTGCATGAACGTAGACAGCTCACACGCATTTAATAGTTTTCTTTTCCACCTCAGGAATGAAAATTTAACAAAGACTGATAAAAGGACCTGACTCGTCATCGTGTCTGATACATCGGTGCTGTTTTTCAACATAAAAGATACTAGTGTGAAACGATGACCTTGAGCCGAAGATCTAAATAGATGCGTTTGCTCTGCAATCGCCTCTTTCGACCTCGTCTTACGAGGTAGTTTCCGACGTGGTCGTTACGCAATGAACAAAGGTTGAGCTCTTTTCCACCTCAGGAATGAAAATTTAACAAAGACTGATAAAAGGACCTGACTCGTCATCGTGTCTGATACATCGGTGCTGTTTTTCAACATAAAAGATACTAGTGTGAAACGATGACCTTGAGCCGAAGATCTAAATAGATGCGTTTGCTCTGCAATCGCCTCTTTCGACCTCGTCTTACGAGGTAGTTTCCGACGTGGTCGTTACGACAATGAACCAGGTTGAGCCGGTATCGTAGTAAGTTGGCCAGATGAGAATGGCTCACCATGACCAAGGTGCACAGCTTTCGAGGCAAGGGCACGAGAACTTTACGGTTCTGTTACTACCTTCTTCGGGACAACAAAATTATCACTGATCCGAATGTGCAGTTCCCTTCTTACGAACATCTTCTAGGAGTTGTTCATACACTGTGGAAATGGGGTACTAACGTCGCGGTTACTTCACTGTAACATCCATCTTAAGAAACCTGCGCGGTGGGGAGTTTGTGTCAAATCTATATCACATATCACTATGGCAGTACACAGCACTGGCAGCGACACAGTTCTCTATTAGTGCAGTAATACAGCGGTAATATCTGGACCGTCGATTCTTCCAAATTCGTCACACCATCAACTCCATCAGACCACTTCGTTCTCACCTTTCTTATCACAAAATACCATCAAATCGGTGTGAAGGGGTATATTAACACTAGCTGATTAATGTTTGCTTCACGGGGGGATTGAACTGGGCAACAGAGACGGTGAGGCACATACCAACTCACATTTGGGGGTGCGGGGACCCGTAAGTTTCGGAATGGTGTTAAGCAGCAGTGGCATTGAAATCTGTTGTCACAACACACAACTCTGTAGTCAGCTTAATCGCGTGCGGTTGTTAGCCAAAACTCAGTCCAGCGACATCCTCAAAATTGTCAATGACTTAGCCAGACTTGTACAGACAGCTTCTTGATCCAGTTGTTTAGATGCCTTGGAGCAGATGGTAGTAATGGAGAGATTGTGTGAATGGGATGCTTGGAACATTCGCTTAGGTCGACCATTTTGTTACAAACGTCTTGCTTTATTTTTGAGGCGGCGGTATCAGTGCAGAACGTGGTGTACCAGTTTGATAGGGTCCATCACTTGTACGGGCATGTAGCCTAATGTATGTAGACTTTCTTGATGGATGTTGGAAATTACTGTTCTGCGCACGGTATCAATTCCAAACAGGCTGTGCGAACTTACCTGAGAAATACGTTGATTCAGAGACGTCCACTGTTCCCGTGTCGCACGCAGCTCATGTTTTGCCCGACCACCAGCCGTGTTTTGAGCAAATTGCTGGGAGCCTTGATGTGCTCGGTCAAACAGTCGTTGAGTAGGATTTTCGGATGCGCTGACCAAGGTATTTGACAGTAAAGCGTGCATACCGAGGACGCTGTTGGACGCAGCAAGACAAACGCGGTCTGCTCTGTCACTCAGTTCCATTAGTTTTGGTTGATTTTGTTCAAGATGTGAAGCCAGTTCCTGGAAGAATAAAAAAAGGCCAGTTGAAATGAGCCATGTTACCGGTCACAGGCTTGGTGCGTACCTCATCAACCATTCCACGAGCAACCAGACAAGTAGGATGTTACACTGTTCTGGAACGTTTTCGGCCAGAATAAAAAATCGTGATCGTGGAAGAGGGCTGGAACCTTCGACTCCGGACAGGTGAGCAAACATGTGAGCTACCGAGAAACCTCACTCTCTTTCTTACTATCGACACCCCTCCCTAATGCATTTACGCTAGATATTCACCATCAGCGTCAGTAACCCTTGTGTGATTTACACACTCGGTTAAGTGATCATTTAAGGAATCAATTCATTGGATGTGTTCAAAAAGAGGTGTAAACCACGAGTGTATAAATCTGAGGGAGAGCAGGCAATCTCGTCAGTTCACTTGACCGGGCACTCAGATGGTTACAAAGGGCCGATGGTTCATACCCCGCCTATTAGTACATTTCTTCCTTGTGCGTTGAAATTTACTCAGTGTCTTTCTGATTGCTCAAGCGAAGAACTCCAGGGTCACTGTACACTGGAGCACAAATCTCCTTATTGTTAATCTTATTCGGAACATGACAGGAAGGATTTACGATGCGCAAAGTAAATCATGCGCAAATTAAATCATGCGTAACTTTGAGAATTCAGACCGAAGAACTGACTGCGACTGTATGACAGTCAGTCACTTTGCAAGCCAGACCTTCTGAGCTGAATAGGTGAGCTGTTGTCCAACTGTTTCCATGTATCCAGAATATCGTTATTATACTGCACTTGCAAATGAGACTGTATCGCTTACCAACGCTACCCCCAATAAAGATTTGACTGATACATTGGTACTTTAACTGAGACTACTATCAAAGAAACAGGAACGTTTGTTTCGAGAAAATTGCAATCCTGCGGACCGCTTGTCGTGCGGAATTAGGACCAGGAAGGAGTCCCATGAACAGTAATCACCTTTATCGCAAGGACTGAGCATGCCCTTCGACGATGACTGCGGGATTTTGTATAATACAAACTCGCATGACACTTGTTTGAACAATCGTCATCCTATCCTAGCGCCATCATTCTGGAGGGTCCACCACCCACCCTGTGGTGAGGGGTTTGTCTGCTCAAACGTAAAAATTCAGATGCGTTCAGTGTGTGCTGGTGGAGTAGTGGTGTAGTGGTGGATACTACTGATGAGACACGCGAGTAGTGGTTTCTCGTAAATCTGCTTCACGTCTCTTGAAAAGTGAGATCTATTACGGAATTTGTGGAGTCGCTTTTTAGCATTTGCTTGCATTTGAGTAGCAGTCAATAAATATACGAAGAGCGAAACAAGTTCTTCATCCTCTATTTTATTCTCCGGAAAACTTCTAAGCACAATCCGAAAATAACTTCGTGGTTGCATGAAATGTTTACTGATAAGCAGAATTCACATGAAATTGAAATGATCGGCAGTCAATAAATATACGAAGAGCGAAACAAGTTCTTCATCCTCTATTTTATTCTCCGGAAAACTTCTAAGCACAATCCGAAAATAACTTCGTGGTTGCATGAAATGTTTACTGATAAGCAGAATTCACATGAAATTCGAAATGATCGTCAATAGGTGTACAAATCCTGGAGATATTGTAGTCTTATTGTCTTCTTCGGTTCCATAAAATCCGAAAAAAAACTAATTTGATTTGATTTAATTAAAATTAATTTAATCAACTGTTGTTATAAACAATGAAATATGGCCACATGAACCTCAGATTTTCAGTTTTATTTTCTGAGAGTTTGCTCCGGTTACCCGATATTTGCAACACGTAAATCCATCCAGAAAACTTGAAGAAAAAGGTTGTAAAGTGCCCGCTACTTCTGGATTCATCCAACCTACAGGAAGATGAGGTTTCTGTCCTAACGGATGCTTATGAGAAATCCACCGCCCAAAATGCGTATCTTACAATTTCCAAATGATTCGCAAAGGTAAGAAAACTGGGGTCCGATATTAAACCGTAAAGTGACAGATTGCGCACTGACTGCAAACTGTCTTGTGATCTGGGTCCCACCACAAACAAGCGTGGCACGTATCACGGACTGGCAGTATAGGTATCTTTGCCCCTCAGTGCTATTAAAAATCTGAAAACTTACGCGGTATTTTCTGTTAACTCTCTCCAAATCCACCTGACCTTGAATGTCCTCACTGTGTACAGAGTCGTACTGCTTGAGCAACTGAAGCAGCTCATTCAACGATTGATTGAACGATGATTCCTCAGCTTGAAGAGTCTGCAGTTTAACCGAGATTTCCTGAAAAGGTAGATTGGTTTATGCAACCATTCAGTTATTCCTTGTTTGATTTGTAGAATATACAACAAATGGATATCAATTAGTTCAGTAATGAAAACTACGGAAATTATTGTTCTGCTGATGGATAGAAAAATGATGTTTTTTACCAAATAAGTAATATATTGACAGTTAGAAGTTTCACCAAAGCCATTCGCGAATAAAGGAATGCTGCCAGCTGCGTATAGCTTGGGTTCAAATAAAACATCAGCCTGATGAAAATTCGAAAACCACGCTTATTTGACGAGCACCAAGGAGTTCAAAACCGATAGTATGCTTTCCAAGAATTTTAAGCAACCCTGTGAGTAGTATGTGATGTGAGGAAATCATAAATATCGTAAATATCGTAAATATCTTGCCAAACGAAACATGAGGCACATTTTGTCCTCAGCTAACCTACCCATGCTACATTCATATAGATAATGATATACAGATCTGATAAGTCAGAATCCACTCTGGGTCATCAACCTCGTGTTTGTCAACTTATCCCTCACCCATTTGTTTTTATCCATCTGCCAACTTTGTCCTGACAGTATTTGGTGCTAAGTGGGACACTATAAACACGAAGCAGTGAAAAAGTATGTTACCTATCCTCACGGAAGTTTCTTGCACTAAGTAAGGTTAGTATTTCCTCACCTCATAGATTTTTGAAAGTAGTATCACAGTGTCATGAATAAAAACATGATTCTAACAAAATTTCGAAATGTTTGCAAACTAGAATTGGGCACTTTGCGATCCAAATTTGTGACCAGAAGAGTTGTTGACGGTGTTGCAAGCTACTGTCTACTCCTTAAGAAGCCAGATTGGAAAGACATACTTGCAATTGAGTTTGCAAAGCTTCATGCTGACCAAACGCCTCAGATAGGAATCGCTGCGCACTCGAATCCTGGCACTGATTTCGTAAAGCGGTGCTTTGGGAATCGAGTTTTGCTAGCACTTTGTGCCAGGTAATCACCTCATTAAGCAAGGTCTGCAAAGGAACGGGACAGTGCAAAAGAGGTAACAAGAACGGTAGGAAGAAACATGGATTTTTAGAGTAGGACATCCATGAATATTGCTTGATAGGTTAACAAAGAAAACGAGCTTTGGACTATATTACCAATGACAAGAGTGAATGAAAGGAAGCAAGTTGGAAAGAACAATTCAACCGTCAACATAAAGTACTTTCACTGATTTCTGATGGTTTCGCACGGTGGAGAAGCAAGACCCAATTTATCCCGTCTGAAATGATATCTAGAATGGTAACAAATGCAAGCACTTATTGCGCACAGTTGTATTTATAGTACCCGCGCCGTAATGTGCGGGGGCTGCCACAGAACATTCGATAAGTCAGTTTATCGAAAAGAGGTTCCAAGTTTTAGTTCAGTGGGTATCCGTTTGAGGAAAAATATCTTCACTAGACAGAAATTTGCAGGGTTTTGTTTCTAGAATTAGATCTGTCCAACACAACCATTTGACTTGATGGCTGCTCAGGTACACCGCTTCCAATCAAATTCGACTAATCCATTTTAAAAATGGAACAAATTTTTATCTTTTTAAATTTCAATTTAATTTAATTTATTTAATGGTAAGAACAATTACCACCTATTACCTCTTATCCATAAATGCTTTGGGCTAGTACAAAGTTCTTGTCGTGTTGTTTTCACCAGGGAAGTTTGAATTTTGCACAAACTTCACTGATACCTCTGAACAAGGACAGCTTACAGTACTCCATACTGAGGGTAGATTTTAATCTTTCAAACTCACGCACTCACAGACATGATATAACTTTAATTTAGATCCTATCTAAAACGTTTCAAGGAAGATTTCGGGGGTTTGTCGTTTTTATGGAGGGTGGATATTCAGCACCCAAACTGTGTTTCAACAACAAAGGCAATAGTGTCGTCTTTCTTTAGGGGATTAGAGATGTCCCGGCTATGGTTACCTGAGACTTATTAAAAGGGTCAGCTAGGGTATTGTAGTTCAGAAAAACACGTAAGCAATGACACGGGTGTATTGTGTACACACAGCCAACCGTTCCACTTTCGTGGCGGGTAAGCAAACAGCAGAGTCACATATCCAGTCCACCCACAGCGCTCACGCGAGCAAATCAATCGGACACGCACCCAATCGGCCACTCAAGTCGCACGCCAGATCGATGGTGGAACGACGAACGGACACACACACGCAAACTCTCCGACACACCGAAGCAGCCTCTGATAGGTGAAGAGAATGCTATTCCGCAAACGAACTGAGTGGGGAAGCTGGTTGGCTCATGCGTCATGGGTACATCAAGCCGGATCAGAAACTTCCAGGAAGGACCAAGAATTAGCTGCGGCGAGAGAACTATCAAACCGGATGTTGTGATTGAGTGGCATTGTGCACTTTTGTTCAGACTGCCAACTTTGGCACTGATACTTCGTTTTTATAAATAAAGGGTAGCTGTCTGCTGTCACATAATATTAGCCTGAGATTTGAGAATATCTAGAAACTACCGACCATAAGGCAAGTCGCAGCAGACCTGGTGGAAAACTAAAAAGGCTTGGTTGTCGACCTGTTCGTCGAGCTGGTAGCTGGATTGCAAAGGTTTAATCACCAATGGAGGGGAAATCGTGATTGCAGATCGAAATGAGTAAACTCCTCCTCTGGCCCCTAAACAGAATTCAATGGCTTTAAACTGAATGGTTGCTCCAGAGGTAGCTTTCGCGCAATTTGTTTGGCAGCTCGGAATCTGGGTTGTTTTGTGGTCCGATTCACTTGTATGTTATTGGATCATTGGGAGTCTTCGATTCTACACTTCTGCTCCTCCGTTGCAATCGGGCCCTTTCCTCCTTCCTTTGTGATATGGTGATTACCTAAGTGACATTCTATTTTTCTTAGCTTTCTTTCTTCGATCCGATTCGTTCGTTTTTCGTCATTAGGTTGTCTGACTTTCCAAGTGACTTAGAGTCCTACATCTATGTTCGTAGTGGTCAATAGAGTGGGTCGATAAGCCAAATGTCAGGCTCGCCGAACAGACCGAGAAACAAGCAGCGCACCCTTATTCCGCAACATCGTCAACTACCAAGGCTCCTTATTGGGAATGCTATACAGAAACGGTTGTCACTCGACAGTTCTACTGTACTTAATGTCCTGTGTAGTTTTATATTGATAAAGAAATGGAGCTCGGACCAAACCTCTGAGTAAGTATTGATTCGAAGTAATGAACATCTAAATCTAGTGCATATCATTTTTAGACAAAAAAACAAACTATTTACAAATGACGGGGAATTTAGTGGTGAACTACGACTTTTCCCTTTCATAAGCTTCCTCATTACCAGCCCTTTGAACCTACTTTTTGTGGGGCTCCAGCCTTCATTCTCCGCAAAATGTACCAGTGGCCTCTGATGAGAAATAGTTTCTCAGCATCCATGGAGCATCACCCTTTTGAATTTCAACAACAGTGTGACCTCTTTAGGCTCTTAGCTCCTACTGTCTTGTCCATCCTCGGATGTTATTGACTATAGTTGATGACATACATCACTGTATCGCAACCTCAAGCTATTGGGTTATTGGTCTACCAGAAAGCGCTAGATTCTTACTTAAATGACATGACGGTACTTAGTTTGTAGGGAGCAGTCGTAGAGCACTTTTATCCTGGGAAACGGATTTGTAACTTAGAGGGACTCAGGAATAGTATCAGTTGGTTGGCGTAAAAGATTTCCTGTTATGTTCTCCAAACGAGCCACTGTTTCTTAAAGGAAACTACTCACAAGGTTGCTGAAAACTCTTCGACAGCCCACGACCGGTTTCGCCCTTCTTGGGACTCATCAGGTAGATACAGTCCCCGAGTTTTCGTCAACCTTATGTTCGTACAGCCGAAGTATATACTAAAGGAGAGATTCAGTTGAATTTCCCTTAAAAATCCAGTTGATATGCAAATGATTGTATTTGCCGAAATCTGTCCAGTTTGGGTTCAAGTACACAATACATGCTGACGGAAAATCGGGGACTACGCCGACCCGATGAGCCCCGAGAAGGGCGAAACCGGTCGTCGGCTGTCAAAGAGTTTTCCGCAAACTTGTGAGCAGTTTTCTTTTTGAAAATATACTGCAATATCTCGAATATCGTGCCAACTGAATCATGAGGCGACCTGTGTGTAGCACATTCAGTTGTAGAATGTCATAAACGAGAGATTCAGTGAAAACCAAATTAATTTGTAAATGAGTGTATTTCTCGAGCCTCTGTTTCATTCGTTTACCTTCGAATCTACGTCAGTACGAACTGCCACATCGACTTTCGATCATGATTCATCAAAGTGCATAGGCGTTCACTTGTTCCACCATCACGGACTGACAAGTTTGAAATCGGATAGGGGCCAAAAGTTCGATGGGCATAGTTTGTCCTTGTCTAGTAGTTTCGAGGATATTTAAGCCCCAGATCACCACGACTAATAACGGACTGCCCGTTTCCTCATTTCTATTCGGTCCCTCAAAGAGATCTCTGAACTCCTCGAGCTGACTGCACGATTCAGTGTGTGTTTAATCTTGAATTGTTTCTTCGTGACAGACATTTTGAAGTCCGAGAATCTAAACTAGATTGAACTGCTCCCCAAGCAACATACGCATTCTAACTGATCAATATCGATTTTTGCCGTATTTCTAATATCCCAAGCAACGGTACATTTCACCGTACCGTTCCGCTAAGGTGGAAATATCTCTGTAAGCATATGGATTTTTGATCCGTCTGTTAAAATATCAATAAAACCATAAAAAATGATGGTAAACAGCATGTTTCCCGCACCCGTTAAATCTTTCATAAACTTACTCTAAATCTCTGTATGACTTCATTCACTGGAAGGACAATATCCAAACTGATGGGCTCAGTTGTCTCCATCGGGTCAGACACTCCTTGCACATGGTGCAGTCCATCTGTGGAACGTTGTATGGCTTCTATGAGACTTTGGCAAAATTGTTTATACCATTTCTGCCATTTCTGGGCGGTTTGCTGGAAATCCTCGGCCAAACGAAGAACGCTGACCAACTGTTGTTTTTCAGAATCCACATATTCTATCAATTGTTCGATTCTGTCACGGAAAGATTCCACCTCCTCGGAAACCTGGGCGTTTGTCACACCTACCGCCAACACATTTGCTTGCAACTGATCTGCCATTGCCGTCACATCTTCGATTATTTTCGGGCCAATTTTGGTAATCTCTTTTTGCAGCTGGTCCATGATATCCAGACGGTCCTTGCATACAACAGGGATCATACTCTCCAAACTTTCGAGTGTTTGCTGGCCCAGTAATCCAGGGCTAAATGAGGGGGTGTGGCCTGCGTTTTGGGTGGGTGTCGGGGTCCTTCCCCTAATGGACTTTGTGCGATCTGTTGGCCGTCCAAACGTTGGAATTCGAATTGGACTCTAAGGAAGAGTTTATCAACTAATCCATTACTTTGTTTAAGGAAGAGGTATCAGGTGCTTTGATTGAAAAATATGCTATGAGTTACGTTTCACGATAACTCTTTCAGAGGCAATCGCATTGGTGAAACGGTAATAGTATAGGAGAGTTACTCTGAGGAGAGCGGACTTTAGCTTGCTTTTTTCACAAATCTATTATGTTTCACAGTCGCTTGGGGGTGGTAACACCAGGCGAGCTGAGTGATATGGTGATATCCCTTGTTTCATGTGTCCTTCTTTAGCTGCCTACAGCCGATAACCTTCAAAGAGCTCGGCTTAGTATGAAACAAAAAAAAGTGTGGGAAGTGAAACTGCAGCGGTGGATGAACTCCCATTGATGCCAAAATCATGGATGCGTAGTCAATCTCCTATCTGACTCATCTGGCTTCAAAAAAGTGCAGGGCGAGTAACTTGTTGGATCCGCTTTAGGCCTCTTGGCCGGTGGCAAAGAGTAGGTATGTTTGGTTGGGCGGAATTTCATCTTCGACTTAACCGTGTTCAATTTGAATCCGAACGATTTTGTGACCAGTCTTCTTACGCCCAGCTTACTTCGTCAAACTGATAGCATGATTCTAGGCACATTTGGCGCTTGTGTATTCATTACATCGTGCCCAATTAGTATTTACAACCGTTATGCTATCCGAAACTGATCCCGGTAACCGAAACTTTGATGTGATCGATTTCATGGATGCCATTTCTCCCCACTCTCAGTCCTCATCACTTGACTCTGCTACTACGGCAAAGAGCTTGCCATATCATTACAGGTAATACACAGTAACAAGAAAGTTTGTTAGACTCTTCCAAGAAGACCATTTACCTAATACCATTTGCTCAAGTCAGCCAACCAAGGCTAAGAACGGATCTCACGGTATTCCTGTAAAACGCCTGGACGTTGATTAGTCAGCTAATTTTTTTTAAAAAAAATAACACTTTCGGATATCACAAAGGATTAGAACTTACATGTCCTTCTCGTGCCCTGGGTATAACTTCAGTCATTTCCGAAACCCACTGACTGGCTTTCTTAAGTTGGGAATGGGCTTCAGCGGTTTGGGATTTCAGCTGATTAAGGTGATTTATCAACCCACTCGTAAGTTTTGCCAAACCACTCGTTTTCTGCTCCAGAATTGTCATTCGGCTTTTGTTCAATAATCCCAATTCCAGCCAACGCGGAGATTGCTCAGTCAGATAAGCTATTTTTTGTTCCACTTCGCTGCTCACTGAGTCTAATGGTGACAGAAACCTTTGAATTTCTTTTTCCATCTTGTTCAGGGAAGTGAGTGAAGCACTGTTTTCAAGAGAGTGTTTTACCTCCGAATTAATTTGGTCATATTTTCCTCTCAAATTTTCAAGCAACTTTTCAAACTCCCCAATTTCCGTCAGTGCTTCACTCCGTGCTGAACATGCCTGTTCACCTAGGCAAAGCAGCCGGTTGTAGTGCCCCACGACAGAGCGCATCACGTGATCAGCCCTGGTCACTTGATCCCTGGCACAACTATTGGTCACGTCATCGATGCCCGATTCGGTTAGCTGTTTGCACCAATCACGAATAGACTGAACGTGTGCTTTTCCAGTTTCTAGTAGGAATTTTGTATGGGAGTGATCAGTCGAAGTTGGCTTGGATTCTGTTGTTGAGACGGCAGTTGCCAAGGTAGCTAAAGACCGATAGAACTCCATTTGCCAAGAATCAAGCTCACCAACGGCCTGAATGAGTAGACCGAAGTTGTTTATCCAAGTTTGGGTCTTGGAAACCAGTGTACTCCACTTCTCAATGAGCAGATGTAATTCAGCTCGGAAATTTTCAACAGCGGCGGTCGGTTTAGAGATTGCATCCATGAGAAATGGTGAACCACGACGTCCTCGTTCTTCGTACTTTTCCACGTAGGAAGACAATGCGGCTAACCTACGCGTAACCATATCCAGTTGTTGCTCCAGACTTTCTATTGCAGTTCTCTCATTTTGCAGTGATGAAACAACGTCTTTCAATTCTTTGCCTTGTTGCTGAGATGACGAAAGTAGCCTGGTTAGATTCTTCATATTGTTTTGCGCTTCTTGTTCCAGTTCATTCTCTGTGGGTATGTTTTGGATCTGATCATGAGTAGCAGTTCTTTTCGAAGAAAAACTACTTTCGTATTTCAGTGAAAATGGTTTCTCTTTGATATTCTTTTTTATTTGACCAATTCGTGTTTCTGAGTCCATCCATCCTAGTTTCAAGGATTGGATGCTATTTAGAATTGCATTGAGTTCCTCCAAAATGTCTTGAGTGTCTTCATCCAAGTTCGATAACCTAGAGCAAACTGGAAGTTCCAGAACCCGCTGGGTGCAATTAGCTGTCGTTGCTTGATCCGTTATCTGTTGCCATGACTGATGCAGCCGTTTGAGTGTGGTGTTCTCAAATTCACTTAGCCGTTTGACCGTGGCTTCAGCGGAAGTAGCCAGGTGTATACATAACTTACTAGGCTCCGAATAACTCTGTGACTGGCAAAGTAGGCTTCGCAGTATTTTGTTCTCTTCCGCATATGCCTTGTTCACAGATTGCTCAAACTCAGTTAACATGTTTCGCAACTTTTGTAATAAAGAGTTATGTTTTTTCAGCAGGTCATAACGACCTGTGAGATCAGTTTGAATATCTTCTACTTGCTTTTTTAGTGTTTGTGTGTGACGGTTTTCAGCGTGGAGACCGAGACGTTCCTCCAAATTTCCAGTTGNATCGGAAGAAAAGAACGATTTGAGCTCCTCCATCAATACGGTCCAAGGCCTCTCATCTTGCGTACTTGTAGCCATGATACTCGCCTCGTTTTCATGCGCATTATTTTGTAACGACTCTGCTCTTTTGACGAACACACCGATGGCCCTTTCAGAATCTCTAACCTGTAAGTTGTAGGCCTCGAGATCTCTCTTCAACCTATTCAACTCAGACGCAATCTTTTGCATACGGGCTGGGTAGGTATTGTGGATGCAGTTGTACACTTCATCGTATTTAATTTTTGAAGTTCCAGGTGCGGGCATACTGGAACTTCCTGTCAGTTCTCTGAGCATACATTCACCCTGTTTCAATTCAGCTTCCAGTTGATTTAAGCGATTTCTGCACTGCTGGTTCCCACTTGCTGTCGCCCATAAATTTGTGACTGTGTCTTGCGGCTCGGCGGTTAGAAGACCCTTCTCTAAATCACTGAGATATCCATTAAATCTGTTGGACCACTCTTCAACTGACTTTAGAGCTATTTGTAAACGTTCTTCATCCTGTTGTATTTTTTGAAATCGATAATTTAAGCCATCTACAAGTCGCGATATGTTCTCCAGGTTATCAGCTGCCCTCCGCAGTCTGTTTGTGGCGGACTGTCCATCTTCTGAATACGTTATCAAGAAATTCGAATCCGTCTGAAGAACCTCATCCCCAATGTTTTGCAGAGAGTCGAGCCTTGCCTTCATCTCTGGCAGAAAATTCTGTTGTATGACTTGAACCTTCTCCAACGTTTGTTGCATATCACGTTTACGGTCAGCAGCGCCGACGGATCCCGTAAACTCCGCAGCTGGTAAACTTCGAATTTCTCGCTCTAAGTGATGTAAGTCTGCCTCAAGTGACTTCATTCTTGAATCCCATTCTGTCAACCGCTGTTTCATACTGTTCACTTGATCTTTTGACATCATAAGGCGACTTAACTGTGCTTCCAAGTCCCTTTCGAGATTCAGCCATACCGTTTGTTCGTAAACTGGTCGTAATTCATTTGCACTTTCAACCAACTCGATCGCTGCCGTACATAAACTGGAAGTAGAGGATGATAAACCGACACTTGATCGTTTTGTCTTGAGTATCGTTTGAACAAGTAACAGCTCTTCTATTAGTTTCTGAAGATCCTTCAGTTGTTGCGATAGTCGCGGCCTCAATATAGGTGATTGAAGGTCTCCCATGCGCTCATCAGCACAACCAAGAACATGAGCGATACGTTGTTCTACTTGATGATAAGCCCTGTTGTACCGCTCCAAAGCTAGCTCGTAGGCAGCGAAAGTGGCTTCTTTCTCCCCATGAAGTTGTCGGCATTTTTTCACAGCCTCTGAAATTAACGCCGATCTGTCTTCTAGCTGCTGTAGTTGCATTCTCATTTCCGGGCTTGAAGTGCTCATCTGATTAAGTTTGTTACTTAAATTCGTGACGTCCAGTGTAACTTTTTCTAGCCTGTTGGTGAGGCCTTTCAGCCGACTATCATCGTTCTTGAAACCGGTCAGATCCACAGATTCCTCTACAGCCGCTAGCATTTGATTAGCTTCGGATTGAAGTAAATTTAGCTCCTTCAGGATGACCTCCATCTCAGTTTGAAATCCCTTTTCCGACTGAGCTAGATTTGTACGTTCCTCTAGGAGTTGGACCAATCGTGATTGTAGATCATCAAATCTTTTGTCAAAGTTTGAGACGACCTTGTCCAGTAAAGAACAAATCTGTTTTTCGTATGTCTCTTGGTTTCTACCGATTACGTCGGCCGCAGCGCTAGTTACCTTTACCACAGCGTCTGTCAATGAAATTCGAAGGACCGCTCCATCTGATTTCAATCTGTTTAACAAATTTTTCATCGATTTGATTGAGGAATCTAATGAGTTTACAGAAGTCAGTCGTTTCAACTCGGATAATTCTTCGTCCAATGGCTTAAAAAATGCCAGATATTCTGTTTCACAAGCAAGTATGATCTCCAGGGCACGAACCAATTTGTCTGTTGCTGTAGCACGACTGACCACCAGTGACTTGACTTGATTGACCTTTGATTGCCAGTTCGCCAACATGGCACGAAGTGTGTCTCGAATCAACTCAGGTGCATCTTTTAGGTGGTCAATCGCAGCGATCACTTCTTGGCTCAGGTGCCAAAACTCTGGGGACTTCCACATCGAAGCGGTCTTTGCAGGTTGCATTTTAAAGTCCAAGGTTCCAGCCGTATCCTGCAGAGCTTGCAGTTCATTCGTGTAGAAAGTTAATGCGTCATTCAGCTTAGTCCACGCAACATTTGGCTGGCTTGGACCAGTAGCCGCGTGCACAATATCGTCCACCAACCTATCTAATCGCTGCATCTTAAGAACAAATTGTTCAACCGTGTTCATTTGACTTTCTAGATGAATCACATCTGACCGGATAGTTTGGAAAAGTTCTCCTAGTCCACTTTCCTGAGATGTCACTTCAGAGGGTAAACAACGCAGTTTTTCACATCTGGCGACGGTGGCTGCATGTAGTTCGTCGAATTCTGACCGTCTGGAGAGCAGCTCCTGGAGGCGAAAAATGTATAGGCGGACACGCATAAGGAATGTATGCAAAGTTGTAGCAAAGGCAATTTACCGCAGTCATTTTATTTTTCTAAGAATCAAAAACTGTACATCAGTGACTGAACTGTTCTTGAGGTATGCACAAGGCTCCGAGAACTTTCATTACCAATGAGAACGCTAATGAAAATGATCCGAAATGCGCTTCAGAGTCATGGAAACAAATGATCACGTAATTTTATTAGTATAGTGATGAGTTTAGATGAGTTTAATCGTTGGCAGCAAATCTGTCGAGAAATTTTTGTCAAATATTTAGTGACAAGTACTCACCTGCGTGTCCAAAATTTTTAGTATTTTGCCGAGCATAGGAAATAAACGCTACACAACGACAGGAGATACCCCCATGTATACACGGCCGGAATAAAATAGGAATATTCATGAAAGTAACACACCTGGCCCTCTCAATAAACTCCAGTCAACGGACGAAATCTCGCAACTATGGTTAATTTCATCTCTTGACGTTCTTCAAGAAATCACCCGGAGACATCAGGGGACATACACCAAGGTGTCATCTGCAGGCTCCTTCCTCTCCCACAAAGGCCAGCTTAGAAAACTCCCAAACTGAGTCTTCCTAAATTCTGGTAACAAATATATATCTGTCTTGGCTGACGTTTGGTAATTCTATTCCTTGGTTGCTCGATGGGATGATGGTTTAGTTTCCATCTACGTAACACAAAACTACGAGAATGACTTCACTTTTGAGGCGACAACTGTGTAGTCCGTCTCTCGGAGCAGTAGTTGTTTTCCTTCCTGGTAGAACCAGCACACAACACCACTTTTCCGGTTGGTTCTTTGATGGTTTTGTATGAGCAAAATCACAGAGGAGGGTGCTGCGGTGCAGTCAGCTCGGGCAGTTCCTTCGTATGTTGGTTAACCTGCGATTACTGTGAGGTCTGATTCTGCTGAACAGTCAGGCAGTGGCCAACAGAGGACGAGTGGACCGTAAAACGGCTATAGCTGCAGAGCCATCCGAATTTTCTCACAAACAGTCCTACCCCCCCTGGAAAGGCCAGTGTATTAGTAAACGTGGATATTTCTGAGTCCAAAGGTAGAATACACCTGATCCTTCCCAACGTCTAGACCCCAAAGTGGTCTCCACACAGGGACGAATACAGAAATGTTGTTTTTCGGACCACCCTTTGAAACAAAGACATTTCTATCACTAAGGATGCACCAAGCGAAAACGTTTTGGCCTACATACGTAAGAGCGCATAAAATCAATACCATTTCCCACTATTTTGCATTGTTGTGGTAGCCAATCATGGATTGGTTATGCCACAAATGAGATTGGGGGGAGCAAAATTCGAAAACCCTTCCTATTCCAGGGGAGCCGTCCGACTCAGACAGTGTAAAGAAATCAATTTGAACAGCACTTCAAACACAAATTGACACATTTCCGAAAGCAGTATTCATCCGGAAAAGAACACAAAACACTATGGGTTGATGCAACCAAAAGGGTTTTGGGAATTTTGCCCGTGTGAATGAGATGCTACTGGAATAACTTTTCCGGTTACAATGCTAATCCAACAGAACAAACCGATCACGGAAGCGTGTTGGCAAAACTTTATTCAACTCAGTATATTCCCGAAAAAACTTCAGAACTTTGGGACCGTCGCGAGCACTAGAATTCAGTCAACCTCCTGATCGTGGTTCTCTCCGAGATTATTTATGTGGGTTTCCGTACCCGAAGTATATCGGAAAGTCCTTTAGCAAGGCGGAGAATTCTATTGATGCTAGAGAGAGTCTTTCTAATAGGCTCATCTAATTTTAAGTGACCTTATATGGCAAGTTCAGAGTGATAAAGCTTTGGTGGCTTGTTTTACTACCAGCTTGAAATCTATATATTATTGAGTAGTTCCGCGTCCGACAAAATGGATTCACTCGAGTGGCCAGGAGGCCATTCAAACAAAAGGATCATGGTGAAACTGATAGAGATGCCTACGGCGATGGAAGTGAAGACGAAAGTACTGCCGTTAATAATGAACAGGTGATGATGAAGATAATGATGAAGATTGACATGAGGATGATAACGATGATTGTGATGATAATTATGGTGATGATGACGATGATGAAGAAGATGATAATGATGATGACGATGACGAGGATGACGAGGATGATGATGACGACGACGATGACGATGATGACGATGATGATGATGATGATGATGTTGATAATGATGGTGATGATTACGATGATGATGATGATGATGATGCTGATGATGATGATGATGATGATGATGATGATGATGATGATGATGATGATGTTAATGAAAATGATGATGATGATGATGGTGATGATGACGGTAGATGACGCATCCAGATGAGGTCAGAAGTTACTCCTGCAGTTGACGATAGCTCATTTGATCACCACTTTGACTGTAACCGGCGTTGGCTGCAGTGTAACTGGCGTTTTTCTTGATATCTCCATGCTGTGGTTTATTGCTGATTGTGGTCAATCCAAAAAATTGTCTGGGATGGTATGAACACTTTTCGTGGTTTGTTTATTTTCGAGTTGGATTCAGGTTCGGAGTTCTTCGCAACGCACTTTATCAGCTTATGTATGTGGCTCATTGAATCAGCACCAGTAAACACCTTAGCTGAAATTTTAGACCTCCACAAGATCGGTAGCTTTTCCACAAAGAAAGAAAGAAAGAAAGCGTTCAGCTGTAGCACCATTCCGGCGCCTAGCTGCCATGCCACCCGAAGGAAGCACGAGGCTGGGATACTGCCAGGTTGCCCATGCCTAGACAGGGGAAGTCGAGTGGCGGAGGTTGGATTCGAACCACGGACCTAGGTCAGTAAATTCGCGCTCTAACCACTTGGGCCATCTCGCCCCCACAAAAAACTAATAACTTTCATAAATTTCACCGAAGTTCCAGAGATGGATAAACTACTGGGTTAATTCCTTGTCTATGTGAGCATGTTGTGTACAAGACAGGTGAAAAATTTTAACAGTTTCGGAGTTCCTCATTGTAAAGTATAACATTTTGAACCCGTTGATTCTCCTGAATCAACGCTTCCGTTGATTCCAGTGGAGGTTGGAATATCAGTCATCCTCTGGGGAACCTTGTGTGTTGGCTAGTTCTGTTCAGATCAAGCACTATCGCCAACGTGATATCAACCAAAGGACCCAGTGACAATTATAACGTTTCCTGCCATTTAAGCAACCTACCTCAAGTTTTGCCTTGAGATTCTGCATCAAAGCAAATGGATTGGCATCTCCTTCCACTGAAGTAACAGTTCTCATCCGAATCGCATCCGTTCGTTCTAAATCCAGCTTATTCATCTTTCCGGAGAAATGATCTGTTGAATCCTTGATTTGCTTTACCAGTTGGACAAACTGTTCCCACTCTGTACGCCGTTCCTTCACAGTTTCTGTAAGCTCAGTTAGAAGACAAACAAAATTCCGTAGTCTATCAGAGGCTTCCGGATTCTTCAGTTGCTCTGCTCGTTCACGCAGCATTTCGCAATTTTGTTTGCCATGGGACTCTAACTTTGTCATATGCTGCTGCAGTTGACTCAGTTTACTCTTCCCCTCTGCAGCCAAATAGGTTAGGGTTGATTCGCCGTTGCTTAGCATCGCCGGTGGAGGACTCCCGGGTAAGTTGTTTTGTAATTCATTCAACCAGTCATTTTCCGACTGAAGATCGGTCATTAATTGACTGTTGCAGGCGATTTTGATTTCAGTCTGGTGAGAAAAATTTAAAAAAAAGTGATAGGTGTAGTCGTTTATGTAAAGAATCCGAAAAAGGTCGTCAGACGGGCATCCGGTGACGGTTTTGTCGGCGGCCCGTCGACTCTCTTAACTAGCATGTCCCTCCACCGAGGGTGTACGTTATCGTCCTCGTGACACTTACTGATTGGACTTTAGAGGCGAATACATACGAAATCGACGAGTACATTCACTCGCAGACCAATGTGGCTTTCGCGGAAGACGCATATGAATCCCGGATGTTGTGTTATTCTTCAACTAAATGTGCTGCCCAAAGACTGCCCCAAGTTCCAAGTCGGTAGAGTATTCGAGGAATCGCAGTGCATTTTACGGACGTAACACACTACTCAAAAGGTTGTCAAAAGTTTATGTCAGATAGGCGCCTTTCATTAGTTTTCGACAATCTTACGTTCTACCAAAGTGTACAAAACATGGAATACCACGGGATTCTTAAACGAATCTGACCTGAATTCCTCGTTTATGATCTTCTTCAACTGAATATTTCGCGCAGAACCTCTCTTATCAGGCCTATTCCAAAGGAAACAAGTTTCAGTGAAGTCTTTGCAGTACATTCGGTTTAAAGTCAAGACAAACGGGAGCGATTTTCTCGGGATTTTGTTGGATCGCCCGTGAAAACCGATTTGGTACGTAACTGAATGTATCTGTCAAAGTTCGTGCGATTTGGATTCAAGTGGAACAAAAACTTAACTGGAACCCCAGGACTGCGCTTACCTGATGAGCCCCAACAAGAGCGAAACCGGTCGTCTGCTGTCGTGGTTTTCAGCAGCCTTATGAGTAGTGTATTAAGTCGAACGCAAATACAACCAGTGATATACATCCAGCTCCTCTTCCTTTCACACCTCAAATTCTGTGATATCGTCAGATGTAGTCTAGAAAGTGGAGTCCAAAGCAATTTGAAATTCGTACACTGAGCTGCGATTATGTACCACAAGTGATCCAATGCGACGACGGATGCCTTGAAATACGGTTAGTGAGAATGCGAAATTTGAAAAAAACTCGGTAAATTTGAAAATTCCCTCTTTTTCATGGTTATCTGAACTGTGTAAAGCAATACTATATGTACTCAGTCATATGATGCTTACTGATTCGTTGGACTATAAAGCGACCGAACGGCGACTGGATACACATAAGCGGGCACGTGTAAGGGACAAACGCACAACTTTTTACAAACCAGATTGACAGATCTGAGCTCTATGGTATTGAGATCAGGACTATGGGTAAAGTGTACAGTTGATGCTTATGGACCCTGTTGAAAACCCTGGAGACAATATCATCCTGACAACAAGGCTCCCTACCGCGCAGCACAAACTCCTAGGCGAATTCGTCAGATATCATCAGAATTTAAATCCAAAAGAGACAAGACCATTGGAATATACCTGGTACACCCTGAAAGNTGATAGGTGTAGTCGTTTATGTAAAGAATCCGAAAAAGGTCGTCAGACGGGCATCCGGTGACGGTTTTGTCGGCGGCCCGTCGACTCTCTTAACTAGCATGTCCCTCCACCGAGGGTGTACGTTATCGTCCTCGTGACACTTACTGATTGGACTTTAGAGGCGAATACATACGAAATCGACGAGTACATTCACTCGCAGACCAATGTGGCTTTCGCGGAAGACGCATATGAATCCCGGATGTTGTGTTATTCTTCAACTAAATGTGCTGCCCAAAGACTGCCCCAAGTTCCAAGTCGGTAGAGTATTCGAGGAATCGCAGTGCATTTTACGGACGTAACACACTACTCAAAAGGTTGTCAAAAGTTTATGTCAGATAGGCGCCTTTCATTAGTTTTCGACAATCTTACGTTCTACCAAAGTGTACAAAACATGGAATACCACGGGATTCTTAAACGAATCTGACCTGAATTCCTCGTTTATGATCTTCTTCAACTGAATATTTCGCGCAGAACCTCTCTTATCAGGCCTATTCCAAAGGAAACAAGTTTCAGTGAAGTCTTTGCAGTACATTCGGTTTAAAGTCAAGACAAACGGGAGCGATTTTCTCGGGATTTTGTTGGATCGCCCGTGAAAACCGATTTGGTATGTAACTGAATGTATCTGTCAAAGTTCGTGCGATTTGGATTCAAGTGGAACAAAAACTTAACTGGAACCCCAGGACTGCGCTTACCTGATGAGCCCCAACAAGAGCGAAACCGGTCGTCTGCTGTCGTGGTTTTCAGCAGCCTTATGAGTAGTGTATTAAGTCGAACGCAAATACAACCAGTGATATACATCCAGCTCCTCTTCCTTTCACACCTCAAATTCTGTGATATCGTCAGATGTAGTCTAGAAAGTGGAGTCCAAAGCAATTTGAAATTCGTACACTGAGCTGCGATTATGTACCACAAGTGATCCAATGCGACGACGGATGCCTTGAAATACGGTTAGTGAGAATGCGAAATTTGAAAAAAACTCGGTAAATTTGAAAATTCCCTCTTTTTCATGGTTATCTGAACTGTGTAAAGCAATACTATATGTACTCAGTCATATGATGCTTACTGATTCGTTGGACTATAAAGCGACCGAACGGCGACTGGATACACATAAGCGGGCACGTGTAAGGGACAAACGCACAACTTTTTACAAACCAGATTGACAGATCTGAGCTCTATGGTATTGAGATCAGGACTATGGGTAAAGTGTACAGTTGATGCTTATGGACCCTGTTGAAAACCCTGGAGACAATATCATCCTGACAACAAGGCTCCCTACCGCGCAGCACAAACTCCTAGGCGAATTCGTCAGATATCATCAGAATTTAAATCCAAAAGAGACAAGACCATTGGAATATACCTGGTACACCCTGAAAGTTTCATCAAATCAAGTGATCAAAATAACGGCATATACAAACCTTCTTGTGGGGATTACGGTGCGCAGTAGATACTAATAGGCAGCTAAAAGTGCGCTTTCTACCCTGAAATCCCACGCTATTCCAGAAGTTGGAAACAGACTCGGTCACTGCTCTGTACACATTGATCGAAAACCACAATGTTTTATTTGAGTAGGCTCGGAAAATTTGCGAAAATATAACGAGGCATGTAGAACGATGCTGTGCGGGAACCGTGACACTTCATACGCAGTCTGCCAGATCCCGTCGAAATGACTGTTACCCGTAGCAGTTGTGTGGTCACGGCCGACAACCACCAGTCAATAGCATGACTAACTGACACCATATTCGATCATCGCGCACTTGGCGATCACCTCTTGTAGGCTGACCACACAACGATAGATACCAAATGACGCTTGTCTCTTTCGTGATTCCCACCACTTTGCTTCTCCTAACGAGCATCGAATCGTTTTCAAAGAAGTACACATTTCGTTGCCATATGTCTTTGTGGGGTCTTCATATTTCACATTCACATCAATCTCGTCCAAAACAGGCCTCCTTCTATCTTAACGCAAATATTCTGATGCGTACACAACAAAGGGGTGAAACACACTGTTGAAATTTCGCTGTTATCAGAGCTCATTAGAACGATTGTGATAAGACTGGTGAAGGACTGTTCAAAAGTTTTGAATTCTAAAAATCCGACAACAACCTACCAAAATTTTCAAGCAGATCCACGGAGCTACTTGCCTGCGAAGTACCACCTGGCGAGTCAAGACGATTACACTAGGTGGTCGTTCGAGGCATCAGGCACCTACCAAAATTTTCAAGCAGATCCACGGAGCTACTTGCCTGCGAAGTACCACCTGGCGAGTCAAGACGATTACACTAGGTGGTCGTTCGAAGCATCAGGCATCAGTGCAAGACAGGAGAAGTGTTCAGACGTGTAGACTGTTTTACGTCTTCATCACCAGCCAACCTAAACAGGTTTCACACAACATACAATCGGTTCGACCTCATTTCTAGCGAATAATTCAAAATAATCAGTAGTGCCTTCATCCTATCATTGAAGAACGTCTGGACTGAGAATCACTGCACAGCTGTTTCACCCTTGTTGCGAATCCCCCACGAAACTCGGAGGTTTTCAAAATCGTGATCTTCAGGCCAATGGTTCAACACTTAACCGTTCGGCTGAACATCGGTGTGATTAGTTCTCTCTTTCATCTTTCACTTATGAAAAACATCACGTGATCACATACTGACTGGCTCCTGACTACTTCTCACATTCAGTGAAAGTATCTTTCATCTGAGCTACTTATTGCCTCATGGTAGTCCAAAACATTCTAAAAGATATTTGACGTCTGTTTACCGTGACTCGGTTCTTTCACTGCAATACCTGAAAGATGGAACGGGTTAAAACCATGAATAAACTGATATGAGGTTTCTAAACCTATCAAAACGATAACCAGGCTTCCCGACAAAAATAAATCACGGGATATTCAGTGAATACCGATCAATGCTACGCACCCATCATTAAAATGCATTCGGGATGATGGTAACTTGGTTCACCATGAGGTTAGATGGGGTATATTTATGTTAGGCAATTTGGCGCAATAAAAGTCAGTGATAAAATAACCCAAAACTGATTTTGAATCGGCGTATATAGTACCAACAATATATCGCGTGCTTTATTGTGTACAGAATACAGTTATGCGTTCAAAATGAATCACAATTTACAAAGAGGGGTTTGGTAGTGAATCATCACACACAGAGGTTACATTTGATTCGGAATATTCTCACCAAACAGCGCCAAACAATACCTGATGGGCCCGACAGAGGACCAGTATGAGAAAATTCAACAGGGGACAAAATATTAACCAACAGGTAAAAAAGCATCCAAGTTGCATCTAACTTGAAAGTTACCGAGCGGACTCAGGAAACAAAACGGCTTAACTGGTCACCAGCTTATACTGAGCCATTCAAATGCGCAGTAAATCGATGCGGATAAATTTGGAGAGTAATGCTTGCGCTTTTATTCCCTTACGCACAGATCTTGTCATCACAATCTCCAATGTCTAAATTGCCAATTTCTATAGCCACTCCAACCGTCAGTGATGCCAGCTGAGACACAAGCGCTTACAGCTGACAAAGATGATAAAAGCTGCTTCAAAATGACTGGTCGCTCACAAGGGCCGTTAGAGAAACGTTTGCTGATTAAATCAAATTGGTTTTATACAGATACTCTCATTTACACACAAAGTTGACTTTGAACCGAAAGACAACTGAACCCAGCTAGATCCTGAGAAGAAACGGGTAATGTGCCGTCAAGAATTCTTCAGCAACCTAATGAGTAGTGTGTTGCGTCGAAACTGCCTTTATCATGAAGAAGCAGGATGACATAAATAGGCACTTAGAAAACATCTGGTAAACAGCATTCAAGCATTGAAGCAGCAATAGCTTTGTTTAATATTTGCCTCATGTTGTCGTGATTTTATCAACCGCGTCTAGGCCTACAGCTTTCAAGTTTTCAACATACTTCTCAAAACTTCGGTTGACTAGACCCATGACCAATTTTGAGATTATCAGGAGATTACCAGATTCCTGAAAGCAACCACCGAATGCCCGAAATCTCCTGAGACTCTCAGCTCCGCTAGATGCTGACCGTGCACACAACGCCCCAGCAATATGCAGTGCTCCACAGCCTTGTATCGAACCCAGACAGCGCGAATCAGCATTGATCAAGGTCAGACAACGTCCCCGCAATATGCAGCAGCCAGACCGCATGCATCAGCAATGGACCAATTAGACAGTGTCCCTCCAACAAATGCTTGAGACCGTCAGACAACGTCCCCGCAATATGCAGCAGCCAGACCGCATGCATCAGCAATGGACCAATTAGACAGTGTCCCTCCAACAAATGGCTTGAGACCGTTGTATTTTCGCACTCGCACACACTCACGCCCTCGCAGTCGCTTGTTCAGAATACAGCTGTTGTGTTCCCTTCTGTGAGTCCTTTTTCCGGCACTAGACACTGGGGCAGGTCAGAAGTCAGATACGACAGATTGACGGGCCTAAGTACTCACCTCCAAACAGACGAGTTGTTTTCGTCATTTGTTTAATCATCAAAAGTGTGATCCCAGGCACATACATCAGCTTAAACAACTGCACTTTTATGAGATAAAACGATTCAAAGTACAAACATATTCTTACCTCCTTCAGCTGCGACTCAACTAATCGTTGGAATTTCGCCAACTCTGTTTGGAAGTTTGAAAGCTCGCGCCTTGCAACCATAACGACGGCCGCCGTGTTGGAATGGGCGGTTGAACTGGCAAGCTGCTGTGTACATTGTTTGATTTCTTTGACTTTGTCATCTCCAGCAGCCAGTGTGATCAAAAGGTCTGACAAAAACACCTTCTGCCCGTCTACGTCCCCATAACTTTGCGCAGTCTCTTCCATCATCGTGACAAAGTCGGCATGTGCGTTTCGAGCACCACGAAGCCAAATTCGTGAGGATTCAAGGAGACTTCGTGCAGATGTGAGTGTAGAAAGAAGTTCCTTAGCGTTTTCTGCGTAAATCTATCAGATTTAACAAAAAATGTATCATTTTTATACTCCAGAAATAATTTGCGCGTTCCATACACTCAGTGGAGAACACCAGTCCACAAAAAATGTTTTCTATTGAAGTATGTTTGGGATTCTGCACTTCATTTCACGCTCATATACAGAGGAGAGGACAACATCAGGAAACTAAATGTCTCCTCCTCAAACACTTAGAATGCGTACATGATAAATTAGACCATGTATATGAAGGTGATCGATTGCTGCTGTTTTGCCTAGCTGATTTGAACTACTCATAAGTAATATGCAATCGCACTTGCAATCCCTTTCCGAAGTAGTCCTTCATTTTCACCAATTTACAGAAGAAATCGGTGTTAACGATGTCAGTCCGTTTGTATTATTCTTCTTTGGCATTTTTAGCATAGTTGCGACTGAATGACACAGTTTAATTCAGTTCAGTTTATCCGTAAACCGACCTCCCACTAACTTAAATTTCAAATGTGTGTGGCTCGTGTTCACGTAAATGGTAAGCCTGTTGGAAGCACTTTGGAGCCTTAAAAAAGGCCGGGACCTTCAAAGAGTGTCGTATCAAGAATCTGCCCATCATGTCTGTTAACACCTTCACACCTTGAAGAAACTGCGTTGAAATTTATATGCAACGACCATGAAAGAACTACATTCCAGCCTACACCTGGTTGATGGCCACAGGTAGACGCCGCCGATCCGTAGAACAGGGTTTTCAGTTCACAATTCACTTAACAGCCCAGCACGTGTGCGTGAATACCCTAGCTTTTACTAGTTGAGCAACTATGCGCCGAAAGTATCCTATTCAGATTGTTGGTTGGCACGGGTAGGAAGTGCTGAGGAATGTGGCCGTTCGCTAACTACAAACAGTGCTGTAAAAATGCGACGTACGTACGAAACAACTGCAGTCAAACAAGACATCCACGTCTTATCGGGATAAATCAGCCGGAACTATAGGAATAGGGTATGTGTGAACTTTTGGTTAGAATTGTTAACCTGCTGACCTCTGAACCAAGCGATCGTTGATTGTTCATGCAGCTGATACATTTTCGTTCGGAGTGGTTCCTGGTCTAAGCACTTTTGATTTATTTGACTAATTTAAGGGGAGTACCTGTTCCAAAGGAAGAAGGGATGCCTTTTTTCCTTCCACCTCAAACCTCGTCACTTTGTCCTCTGCGAAATCTGGTAGAAAAAGTGCCAAGTCATCTGCTCACAGCCTGACAATCGATAATCAATAAGCCTGTATTTTTCAAGCTTTTATGGTTGTTGCTTATCTTGATAGGCACTGAACTGACCACATCATTCCACATTGCTTTCGCGGTTGTAAACTAGAATCGTAGGCAAAAACAACTTATTATTATATTTGTAATGTATTACTCATAATGTTGCTGAAAATCCATCGACAGCCCACGACCGGTTTCGCCCTTCTTGGGACTCATCAGGTAGGCGCAGTCCCCGGGTTTCCGTCAACCTTATGTT